TGCTCTTTGCTCTGTTTACCTTGCTGAATTCCCTTGCTGCCCAGTACTGGAGCTCAAGCCATAAGCCCTGCCCGTGGCTTGGTAGGTGTTCACCAGGGTGAAACCATTTTTCACCCATTCCCTTCCCCTGGGCCTTTCACTTTTCTCCAGGGTAGTTTTTTTTTCCCCTCATCATCTCTGTACCCTTTGCTGTCCCCTCTCCAGCAGTTCCCTGTCCTTCTGGAACTGGGGAGCCCAGAACTGGACCCAGTGCTCCAGATGGGGCCTCCCAGGGCAGAGCAGAGGGGCAGGATGACCTCCCTCCACCTGCTGCTCACACTCTTCCTGATGCCCCCCAGGATGCCATTGGCCTTCTGGGCCACAAGGGCCCATTGCTGTCTCATGGCCATCCTGTTGTCCACCAGGACTCCCAGGTCTTTCTCCTCAGAGCTGCTCTCCAGCAGGTCAGCCCCAACCTGTCCTGGTGCAGGGGGTTATTCCTCCCCAGGTGCAGCACCCCACACTTGTCCTGGTTGAATTTCATCAGGTTCCTCTCTGCCCAACTCTCCTGCCTGTCCAGGTCTCACTGGATGGCAGCACAGCTTTCTGGTTGCATGTTCTCAAGAACTTTCCTAGCACTGTAAGCAAGATGAGCCTGTTCTTGCACATCTCTGGTGAGCAGTTGGCTTTGACAGCACCAGGTGGGTTTGCAGATAAGGAACGCAATGGCAAGGGTGCAGATGGCCACAATTCTATCCAGCAGCCAGTGGCTTTGTTTCTGAAATGCTGGCTGGGATGTCAGTAGAGGCTAACCCTCTCTGCTGGGCTGTGGCTGAAGGAGGCAACACACAAAGAGAAATCATCTCCGAAATCTTAGTCACTTACTGCAAAAGGGCTCTTTGTCCGCTGTATCAAAAAACATACTTGTCCCTGGATGGCTCTGTTGGGTTAAAGAGCTTTTCCACTCATGGGCATAATAACCTATGGGTGACAGTTTGGAAATGAAACAGTTACTGCACAGGTATATAAGCAACCAAATTGCTGAAAATAACAAAGCAAATATTACGGGTTTGCAGATAAGGAACGCAATGGCAAGGGTGCAGATGGCCACAATTCTATCCAGCAGCCAGTGGCTTTGTTTCTGAAATGCTGGCTGGGATGTCAGTAGAGGCTAACCCTCTCTGCTGGGCTGTGGCTGAAGGAGGCAACACACAAAGAGAAATCATCTCCGAAATCTTAGTCACTTACTGCAAAAGGGCTCTTTGTCCGCTGTATCAAAAAACATACTTGTCCCTGGATGGCTCTGTTGGGTTAAAGAGCTTTTCCACTCGTGGGCATAATAACCTATGGGTGACAGTTTGGAAATGAAACAGAGTTACTGCACAGGTGTATAAGCAACTAAATTGCTGAAAATAACAAAGCAAGTATTCAAGAAATAGTGCATTGCTTGCCAGCTGCAAGGCAGTACTGAGACACATCCCTCCAGGCTCCGTAGACTTACACCAGGGCTTAATTTTACTCGTGTAACTGAAGCCAACTGGGTGTCTAAATGCACCTGGTTACTGTCCAACACTTATTTTAAACTTGATCTTTTTCCATGTCTGATACCGATGGTCAAGAAGGATTTCATTTTGTAGTGTAGCTTTGCAAGTTCATTTCACAGAGTCACAGAACGACATGGGGTTGGAAGGGACCTCTGGAGATCATCTCCTCCAACCCCCTGCCAGAGCAGGGCCACCCAGAGCAGGTCCCACAGGAACGTCTCCAGGTGGGGTTTGAATGTCTCCAGAGAAGGAGACTCCACCACCTCCCTGGGCAGCCTCTGCCAGGGCTCTGCCACCCTCACAGGAAAGAATTTCCTCCTCATGTTTAGGTGGAACTTCCCATGATCAAGTTTGTGCCCATTTCCTCTTGTCCTGTCCCTGGGCACCACTGAAAAAAGCCTGGCCCCATCCTCCTGACACCCACCCTTGAAGTATTTATAGGTGTTGATCAGATTCCCCCTCAGCCTTCTCTTCTCCAAACTAAAAAGACTTTTTAGTCCCTCAGCCTCTCCTCATCAGAGAGATGCTCCAGGCCCCTCCTCATCTCTGTAGCCCTCTGCTGTCCCCTCTCCAGCAGGTCCCTGTCCTTCTGGAACTGGGGAGCCCAGAACTGGTCCCAGTGCTCCAGATGGGGCCTCCCCAGGGCAGAGCAGAGGGGCAGGATGACCTCCCTCCACCTGCTGCTCACACTCTTCCTGATGCCCCCCAGGATGCCCTTGGCCTTCTTGGCCACAAGGGCCCATTGCTGGCTCATGGCCATCCTGTTGTCCCCCAGGACTCCCAGGTCTTTCTCCTCAGAGCTGCTCTCCAGCAGGTCAGCCCCAACCTGTCCTGGTGCAGGGGGTTATTCCTCCCCAGGTCCAGCACCCTACACTTGCCCTGGTTGAATTTCATCATTTCTGGAAGTGTCAGGTTTTTTAGCATCAACGTTTCAGAAATGGCAGCCTGAAGGTGGGCTGTGACATCTAGGCTGGGACACCTCTGTGATCAGTTAAAACAAAACCCCAGAATACCCTTTGTTCACCCCTCTGCCATTCCTTTTAGCGTCAAGAGTGGTTTGTAGTGATGAAAATTTCTTAGAAAAGATTCTGTTTCAGCAAGAACGTGGCTCTATCCCTCAAACTCCACAACTAATGGATTTTAATTCATTGTTTCTGTGACTTCCGTGTAGAGATCCCAAGTCTTGTTTTGACTTTTCTAGTTCTGGATCCTTTACGTGTGAATTCCTGTCCTAGATCATAATGTGATGTGACTGTACAAAGAGGAGAAGGAAAACCCTCACAGGAAAGAATTTCCTCCTCATGTTTAGGTGGAACTTCCCATGATCAAGTTTGTGCCCATTTCCTCTTGTCCTGTCCCTGGGCACCACTGAAAAAAGCCTGGCCCCATCCTCCTGACACCCACCCTTGAAGTATTTATAGGTGTTGATCAGATTCCCCCTCAGCCTTCTCTTCTCCAAACTAAAAAGACTTTTTAGTCCCTCAGCCTCTCCTCATCAGAGAGATGCTCCAGGCCCCTCCTCATCTCTGTAGCCCTCTGCTGTCCCCTCTCCAGCAGGTCCCTGTCCTTCTGGAACTGGGGAGCCCAGAACTGGTCCCAGTGCTCCAGATGGGGCCTCCCCAGGGCAGAGCAGAGGGGCAGGATGACCTCCCTCCACCTGCTGCTCACCCTCTTCCTGATGCCCCCCAGGATGCCATTGGCCTTCTTGGCCACAAGGGCCCATTGCTGGCTCATGGCCATCCTGTTGTCCACCAGGACTCCCAGGTCTTTCTCCTCAGAGCTGCTCTCCAGCAGGTCACCCCCAACCTGTCCTGGTGCAGGGGGTTATTCCTCCCCAGGTGCAGCACCCTGCACTTGCCCTGGTTGAATTTCATAATTTCTGGAAGTGTCAGGTTTTTAGCATCAACATTTCAGAAATGGCAGCCTGAAGCCGGGCTGTCGCATCCAGGCTGCGATGCCTCTGTGGTCAGTTACAACAAAACCCCAGAATACCCTTTGTTCACCCCTCTGCCATTCCTTTTAGTGTCAAGAATGGTTTGTAGTGATGAAAATTTCTTAGAAAAGATTCTGTTTCAGCAAGAACGTGGCCCTATCCCTCAAACTCCGCAACTGATGGATTTTAATTCATTGTTTCTGTGACTTCCCTGTAGAGATCCCAAGTCTTGTTTTGGCTTTTCTAGTTCTGGATCCTTTACGTGTGGATTTCTGTGCTAGATCATAAGGTGATGTGACTGTACAAAGAGGAGAGGGAAGTTTCTCAGCCTGTTTTACCTGCAGCAAAGGCTTGTACCTCTGCAGAAGTCAAGGCGAGACCATCTCAAAAACCTCACTGGAAATAACGAACGTGTTTTTTGCAAAATACCATGTTGTGTTAGTCCTTTAGTCACACACCAAGGTAGAATGATGACAGGCAGCTCTGCCAGCCACGTGTATTCAGGATGTAGTGACGTTCCCCGGGTCCTTACCTAGGATGGGGCATGGCATAGGCCAGAAGGTCTCACAGCTGGTACATCTGCCATTCCTGTAGTTTCTGTAGGAGTCGCACGGGTACGCCGTGATGTTGCAGCTCTGATTCAGGGAGGACAGGAACAGGAGAACAGACCTCTGGTGGTCACATTTGAAATACTGCAGTCCTAAATGATACACAGGGGAGAAGTATTTTGTTAGCGTGCTTCAGGAAAAGAGCATTGATGCGCTAGCAAAAAAGGACACACCAGCAGCTGGTCACTGACACAACAGATCAAACTGGGGAGCACTGGGCTGTGGCAGAACAGTAAGTGGGCACTCAGCTCTGCCCATATCAACTTCACTTTTCTTGTATTTTTTGCTCTTAAAAACATATTTGTTACTGCATTTCCAGAGGATTCACCTATGGATCCTATTTGGTCTCTGGTGTTCTCTTCTGAGCTCAAGCCCTACAGCTGGATATTGCCCTTTTTCTTTTTTTTTATTTAAACATAGCCTTCCATTTTGATGTAAAAAACCCTTTATAAAGACATAACTAATAACATGAGGTGTTGCGTGAGCAGCGAAAGCCTCATTTCCTATGGATTTTTGTTTCAGGCTGGTTTGCTCAGTAGGTTCTCTTGGGTCTGATACGGGTTGAGTTCACATTACTGCCTTTCCTTCTGTAAGGTTAGCTTCACTGACTTTTCACTGAATTTTTAGAGTTGGAAGGGACCATAGAGATCACCTAGTCCAACCCCCCTGCTGAAGCAGGATTGCCTAGAGCTTGTCAGAGCATGTTACTCAGGAGCATCCAGGTGGGGCTTGAAAATCTCCAGAGAAGGGGACTCCACACCCTCCCTGGGCGGCCTGTTCCAGGGCTCTGCCACCCTCACTGTGAAGAAGTTTTTTCTCATATTTGAGTGGAACCTCTTATGTTCCAACTTGTGCCCGTTGTGTTAATTGTGTTAATTCAAAGGCTTGAGTGCAACTTTGATATCTTCTTCACCCAGCTTTCATAAAACCACTTCTGCTGCTGGGCTGGGAAGGAAAAAAAGCTTTCCTGCGTTCAAGACTAGGGTTGTACTTGCCAGACTGCACTGTTGGTCACCACCAAGAAAGGTGCATTGGATTTGGTGTAACAGCCCACCCCACATTCATCTTGAACCTGTTTTCTGGACAGGTTCTTGCCATTGCTGGTCTTTGGGGTTTTGTGTGTTTTCTAAGTAATTTAAAAATATATATATATATATAAAAATCCCACAGGTTTTCTAAATGTAGTCACAAAATTAAAGGTACAAATCTACCTGATGACTTTTTTTTTTTTTGCATGGAAAATTAATTCCATTTGCATTTGTGGCAGAGAGCAGAAGGATCACCCCTGACTCATATGTCTCTGCACATCAGCTGAAACCCTGCTACCTCAGTGCTGGGAAGAGATTGCCCTCATGGCTTTCCCAGAACATGGTTTTCCTGTATTTTCTAAGCAGGGGTGATGTTTCTCTGGCTGCCTCCTCTTTCCTGATTGGAAACGTTTTGTCAGTGTTTGTGCAATTCAAGGCAGAATTAATTACCAGAAAATATTGTCAGTGGACAGCCAGGCTGGTCGGTCCCACCGTTGGGGTAGAAGTCTATGTGGCCCAGGGCTTCGGTGTAACCTAGTCCTGACAAAAGAAAGTTATCAGGGGTGAGGGGATCGTAAAAGGCAGAAGGAGGAAACGTAAGAAACTAACTGGAAAAAAATAATCATTCCTTAGCTCCAGGATGCCTGCCTGTGCAGGAATATTAATGTCATTCATCTCTTTAGGCAGCTGGCCAAATGGCTGCGACCCAGCTGTGTCATTTTAGCAAGGGTATCAAATACCTAAAATAAATCTACGCGTGTGACAGTTAAAAATTTGGCTTTTTGCGTCGCTGACTGCGGGAGAGGAAAAGGAATGTGAAACACTGGGTCTCGGTGTGCTGCTGGATTCTGAGCTCTTGGAGGGACTGGGAGAAGGTGAGAGGTGGCAATGAGGTGGGAAAGCCAAGTGCTGGGGGTAGGATGCCAGTGGGAGCAGAGCTGGCCTGGCCGGTGGATGTAAAGATGTGGTTGTCCATTGGTTGGGAAAGGAGAGGGCTGAGGGAGATGCCAGATTTGCCCCAGGAGAGGGTTTAGCCCACGGGAGGTGGGATGAAGACTGGAAGCATCAAGCCACAGGGTTGGGGATACCTGATCTGCTGTGTGATTAGTTTTTGGGGTGCTGCGTGCCTGGTGGCAGGCTGACCCCGCAGTGTGATGTTAGTGTGGAACTGCTCTGGAACTCCTGCCTACCAGAGCCCCCGCTTTCCTCTGCTCCCCATCAGCCTCTAGGTTTCCTTCACAGAATCACATGGGGTTGGAAGGGACCTCTGGAGATCATCTAGTCCAACCCCCTGCCAGAGCAGGGCCACCCAGAGCAGGTTGCACAGGAACGTGTCCAGGGGGGGTTTGAATGTCTCCAGAGAAGGAGACTTCACCACCTCCCTGGGCAGCCTCTGCCAGGGCTCTGCCACCCTCACAGGAAAGAATGTTTTTCTGTGTGTTCAGAACAGAACTTTCCATGTTCCAATTTGTGCCTTTTGCCCCTTGTCCTGGCACCAGGCACCACTGAGAAGAGTCTGAACCCATCCTCTTGCCATCCTCCCTTTAGATATTTATAAGCATTGATTAAATCCTCTCTCAATCTTCTCCAGACTAAACAGACCCAAGTCCCTCAGCCTTTCCTCATCAGAGAGATGCTCCAGGCCCCTCATCATCTCTGTAGCCCTCTGCTGTCCCCTCTCCAGCAGTTCCCTGTCCTTCTGCAACTGGGGAGCCCAGAACTGGACCCAGTGCTCCAGATGGGGCCTCCCCAGGGCAGAGCAGAGGGGGAGGATGACCTCCCTCCACCTGCTGCTCACACTCTTATTGGTGCACCCCAGGATACCATTGGCCTTCTTGGCCACAAGGGCCCATTGCTGGCTCCTGGGCATCCTGTTGTCCACCAGGACTAATGGTAAAGAGGAGAAATGTCACATACCATCGGTGTCTGAATGAATGACATCAACGAACTGTGCGTCTGTAGGGTCCAGCCTCTCGCTGGGTGGCTGTCCTCTGTACAGGGGTCCTGCTGGGTCAAGGCCTGCAACGCAGAACCATGCGTGTGGCATCACTTCAGTGCTGTGGGGCTCACTCCGCTCGCAGGGGACAGCTGTCCCCGAAGCACAAGGACTGGCAGGAGGAAGGGCTTACCTGTGATTCTTCCCAGTGTCCCATCAAACATCTGCCCCACGAAGCCAGAGATGTGCGCTCCCAGGCTCACTCCTATCATGTGCAAGGAGTCAAGTGATGCTCCATCAACCTGAGATTTGAAAGTATACTCGTGGTCACAGATTTTAGGCACGTAAAAAGGCATAAAAACATCAGGAGGAGGAATGTAAATGCATCTCCCTACTTTCTCCATATTTTCCCTTGGTGTGTTCCACTCTGTGTAAATACCCCCTTTGATAGTCCCCCGGATTGTGTTGGAGGCCCATATCTGAGAGAGCTTCGATGAGAACACTTTGGGCAATGGTTGTATTTTCCTGGGGCAGTGACTACAAGCGTGGACAGGAATGGGTATTCATGGGCCCCACGAGCACAAGTCTAGTTGTCCACATGTGGTTCCTGCAAGGCATTAGCAGACACAACAATCCTAACGATCCAGTGTCACCATTGCCTGTGACAACAGCTTAGAGCAGCTGCAAACTGTAGCTGATCCCCATAAGATGACTTTTGGAGATCCAGAAAGTGGAAACAGAGTTTCTGTGTATGGGAAAACATATCTTTAGAGTTAATATCCAGAAATGTAAACTGAATATTGCAACAAAATACCATCGTACCAAGTCCAAGGGCAGAGTTTGGCACTGTGGTATAGCTGCACTTCTAAAAATGAACGCGTTCCTTTTTAGGACTTCCTTTTCCCAGACATCCTGTTTAAACACAGTTCCTTTGTGCCCTTTATATACCGTGCATTAATGACTATATACATATATATATATATGTATCTCTATCTCACAGTGTGAACGTTCCACTTACCAACATTTCATCAATAAGTTTCTTCAGGATCTCAGCAACTTTCTTGCAGTTTCGGGAAGCGTTACTGTAGATGAGAGTGGTTGCCCCCTGGTTCCAGTCCACGACGATGACGTTCATGTCTTCTACAGAAAGCAGGAGATGTACCAAGTTTGGGAGCCAGACGGGTGCAGAGCCCGTGAAGCGGTACCCGTGGATGATGAAGGTAGTTTTCTTGGTCACATCTAGGTAGCTGGAGGCCGTTGAATCGAGCTCTTCGGCACAGCTTGGGTTCTGTCTGGTGTAGAGCAGCAGCTTCACTTTCAGGTCTGTCCCTATCAAAGCGTTGCCAAAGCCAAGAGCTGTGAACGCAGGGCATGTCTCCCCGGGGTCTGAAACGAGCAGAGTGTGGTAGTCCTGAGGTTAGCACCAGTCCCTTCGCTTTCACCTTTTCTACCTGCCAGCCCCACACAGGTGGACTGGACTGGGGGGTTGGACTAGATGATCTCCAGAGGTCCCTTCCAACCCCATATCATTCTGTGATTCTGTACGTGTGAGCTGTCTGAGCCAGGGCTGCTCCTCTCCTCTCCATCGTGTTCATGACTGGAGTTACCCTGAAACTTAGGTTTTCTCACCATGTTGGAACAAAGACAGCAAGTGCACCTTCTTCCAGCAAGTGCTGGAGCGTGTCCAGAGGAGAGCCACCAAGCTGGTGAGGGGCCTGGAGAACAAGTCCTATGAGGAGAGGCTGAGGGAGCTGGGCATGTTTAGTTTGGAGAAGAGGAGGCTGAGGGGAGACCTCATTGCCCTCTACAACTACCTGAAAGGAGGGTGTAGAGAGGCAGGTGGTTGCCTCTTCTCCCAAAGGCCGAACGACAAGACCAGAGGAAATGGTCTGAAGTTGGGGCAGGGGAGGTTTAGATTAGATATTAGAAAGAACTACTTTACTGAGAGAGTGGTCAGGCCCTGGAACAGCTGCCCAGGGAGGTGGTGGAGTCGCCATCCCTGGAGGGATTTAAGAAACGTATAGACATGGCTCTTCAGGGCCTGCTCTAGTGCCCAAGGTTATTGGTTTATGGCGAGGGGTTGAGTGTGGGGTTTAGTTGGTGGGTGCGGTGGTTTTGGTGGGTTGGTGTGGGGTTTTTTTTTTTTTTTTTTTTTTGTTTTGTTTTGTTTTTTGTGGTTGGACTCGATGATCTCAGAGGCCCCTTCCAACCACTAAGATTCTGTGATTCTGTGATTCTCGGAGCAGCGCTCCCTGAAACAGCACAGTCCTGCTTCCACCAGCAGCTGGGAGGCAGCATGGACTTTCTCCAAAAATCCACTAGCGTGAGGAGGGTATTAGAGACTGACAACTAGGATTGGTTTGAGAGGGTGCCCCAGATGCTCTGGACAGGGTAAAGAGATCTCCTCGTAGATTGTTTGACAAGCTGCAGAGGATCTTGCTGCTGTGAGGGGCAGCTCAATGCTTCGTTTGTGTTCGCAGATGCAGCTATTTCAGGCAGTGAAATGGGACACCCTTTGACGGCGTGAGATACGTTACTGATAGTGCTTTACACACAGCTGAGGAGAAACTGAATTTTGTTTAAAAGTGCTGCTTTATGGGACAGTCTCTGCCATTTGAAAGCCGGTCTTTGTTCCTTGCTTTTCCAGCAGAACACCAGCTGGGCCTTCAGAGTCCAACACAATCTCCAACAGGCCACTGGCAGGGAATGGAATAACTGTCTCCAGACAGACGCTGCTTGTGAAGGCCCTCCCAGGTTTTGTAGTCTCTCCTGGCTCACAATCCTTTTCCTCAAATCCCCTTAATCTTATTGAACAGCCTTGTGGGTCTCTCTCTTACCCGTATGCCCTGGGCTGCAATAATTGTTCAGGCTGCGGTCGCTAGAGAAATCTTCCTGATCTTTGCTGCTGAAAGGGCTGTGCAGTAGGTAGAAAGCTTTAGAAAATAACCTAACCGTGCTCTAGCAAATCTCCAACACGTTTTAATATACAAATGATCAAGCTTTCACAGTTTCTATGAGCAACTTTCCCTTTTCTCCTCCTGTGGTAATCAGGAGCATGAGAGTGATATAAACGCGGTGTGCCCAGCACATAAAATGATCTGCTCAGTTGCCATAGTTCTGCTAATTATTTTGCAGAAGCCCCAGGAGCTCCAGAAATAAAAGTTAATAGGCTAAAAGGATGTTGCAGTTAAGTCCAACTGGATATTTTAAATTACTACCATAAATTCAGGAATAAATTTTAGCGTTTGAAATCCACGGAGTCCTTCCTGTATAAAGCCTATGATAAAATAGGAATAGTGAGACAGGAATGGTGGAAAATGAGCCCTCAGCCAGGCGATACTCAACCACTGTCCTCTAGCTGCTACTGCTACGTTAAAAAAACACAATTACATTGAATTTTTACTAATAACTACAAACTGTTTTAGTTTTCTAGAGTGTTATTAGATAGTATTGTTAATCATCTTCACCACCACTGAAGATGCAGTAGTACAGGTGGAAATGCCAGGCAAGATTTACTTCTTTATGGTGCAAGATTTACTTCTTTATGGTGCAAGATTTACTTCTTCATGGTGCAAGATTGCGCTGATTGCTTAATTTGTTTCTATATCTCCTGTATTGTGCTCAGACTTGCCCAGAGGAGCACTATGTCACGGGAAGAGCCCACACCTGCTGGTAAAGGAGAGGTTTTTAAAGAGCTGATTGGCATTTCCTAATACCTAACATAACACAGGAACTGTTTAAAAAGCCTGGTTTTACGTGCACCGAGTCTGTTAGGTTTGTTCTGTTTTGATTAACAAGATCAGATCAGTGCTAATAGTGGAGGAAAACCTGCCAGCTGCTTCTTCTGGCAGGCTGGTGTGTATCCCAGACTCATCCACCATGTGCCACAAAAGCTGGCACGTGAGGGCAAGCCAGTTATCCTGGCTTCACTCTTCCTGCAGATAAGCACAGAGAATCCTACCCAAATGGCTGGAAGCGTCTTTGAAACTCCAACAAGATCTCTCTGGTGGGGCAAGAAGCTTATTGAGAGTCACTCTGCAAGCAAATCAGTGAGGTGGAAACTCGCAGCCTGGCGCTGTACTTAACCCGTGGCCAACAGACCACTTCCCTCCAGGAAAGGTGAGTAAATGTGGCAATTAACCCAGTGTCCCATTAACTTGTTCCCGCCCCTGTCTTGGCCATTAGCTTGCTGAACAGACTCGGGCAATTCACTTTTCTGCTTCTGCTCACTTTTCTGCTGTGTAAAATAGGAAGGCAAACAGCAGTTTCCTGGGCAAGGTGCTCTGTCATCTCAATCTCAGCACCTGTAGCAGGGGACACACCAGCCCTACATGGGGGAGCTGGACATCTTTGGTCTGGAGCTTGAGATCGGCCTCTGAGGGGCTACTGCAGCAGGAGGGGCATTTTCAGAATAACTTGGTTCTGAAGTTACATATATATATGTATATTCTGAAGTTATGTACTCCCAGGTGGGAGTGTTGTGGCCATGAGAATGGTCCCAGGCAGACTCCATGGTATTTACTGCAGTCCGTGCTACTAAAGGTCTCTCTCATTCCTTTCTTGGAGACACTGTTTGGAGGCTTCTTCTTCCTGGGTGTTCATCCTACAGACAGGCAGGGTTTGCAATAGTTGCATTTTGGGGCTGTGATCTTGAGGCCATCTACATGAATAGAATAGCATCCAAACCTCTTAACTCTGCCAGTCTGTCCTCTTCCAAAGTGGACTTCCATCAGATCTTCAGTTGCATTTTGGGACTGTGATCTTGAGGCCATCTACATGAATAGAATAGCATCCAAACCTCTTAACTCTGCCAGTCTGTCCTCTTCCAAAGTGGAGTTCCATCAGATCTTCAGTGGGTCAGTGTCACTTGGCCAGATCTGTAGCTGTCCTAGCTGTGGTTCCTGGGAGATTTATCTCCACACAGAGCCCACGAAGGGGCTGCTCACCCCGTCACCATCCTGCGGGTTCCTCAGATAAGCGTGGTGCTGCTGCTGCTTCACCAGTGCTCAAACCACTGTTGCCTCGCCTGCTTTTTGCAGTGTCTTTCAACAGATGGGTCTTTATGCATCAGGAATGAGGCGTCAGGTTTAAGCACCCTTGGCTACCACACAGCAAATGTGGGTAGTGCCAGTGCAGGTTCCCATTCCACAGAGAGAGCGTGCCCTCTGCCTCTTGAACCGGTCTTCAGTATCTCACAGGGTTTCCTTGGTGCCTTTCACTCAATTCTCTTTTCCCACTTCTTACCACTACATTTCCTACGGCATATTTAACAAACTAAGAAAAAAGCAACCGCAAGATTACCCCAGAGAACCTGATGAAATACAAGTTAGTGTTTATAAGAATACTGTGGTTTTGGATTGGTTTGTTTTGGTTTTTTTTTCCAATCCTGTTTGTTTTCCCTACAAGGCAGAGGGCTATAACTTGACTTGCTCCCCTGTGTATGCTAACTCAAGGCAGTACATGTGTTTATTGTTACACAGGTTGATTCTTCACAGGGCTGCGAGGGTATCAAATGAAGCTTATTGTTCATAAACGGTAATTCATCGGCTGCGTCTGTCAGAAAAGACACCACCGAAAAGAAATCATTCTTCTCTGAAAATTGCAAATAACATTTTCAGTGCCAATGGATAGTACTTATATAAGAGAAGTGTTCGCAAAGTGAGGAAAAGATATTAAAAATTACTTTTGCGTTTACATTTGGAATTCTTACAGCTGACGACGTTCGTGTAGCCAGTATAATTTGCTTTGCCAAAATAGATAGCGCCAGTGAAACACCCTGTGCAGCAACTCTGTAATGCAGAGGGTAGATATATTCATGTTCCCTCAAAGCACAGAATGCGTGTCGTATGAGACAGGAACGAAAGTGTGTCGTATGAGACAAACAAACGCTTGGTTTCTTACCTGTTTTCACCCCATACAAAAGGTAGATGAACACGGCGCACAGCCTCAGCATATGGACTTCCACATGGAACTGCTACGGGTAGAAGATTTAAGATTTAAGATTCCCACAATTTCTTTGGCTGATGTGTGTCTGTGTGTCTGCTGCCTCTGACAGGAGTTTGCTCTCTTTTTTTTTGTCTGCCGGTAACAGTAGGTGTGGTGAAAGGAGGAAGTTACCAGCCAAGAAGCGAAGACCTGTCTTTAGTTATACAACTAAAGCTTCTTCTTAAAAAGGTGGGGCACCTTCTATTCTACCAGGTTTCCTTATTTTAAATATAGCTTGCCCTGGGGAATGACTAATCAGAGACACAAACGGGTTGGTATCACGCTGTAAGTGGCAATTCGACTGTTGGAAGTGATGAAATTTTTGCACGTCTGTTTGCCTTTCGCAAAGAATGTCAGAAGGCAGCAAAGAACGTGGGTGTCCTGCAAATCTGATAAGCATCTGGGCAGGGCCAGCACTTGGTTTCCCAGGGCCCTACCTAGTGGTGGCATTCATGACAAGCCCTACTCTCCCACGTCCCATCAGCTCTCCTGAGTGGGGTGTCCCAGCACCCCTTCTAACCTGTCAGACCTTGTCACCCCAGGCAGGACTGTCATAGACTCATAGAATCCTCTAGGTTGGAAGAGACCCTTGGGATCATCGAGTCCAACCATCTACCCTACTCTACAAAGTTCTCCCCTAACCCCTAGAAGGGGTGTCCTAGCAGACCTTGTCACCCTAGGAAGGAGGTGGAAGCACCGTGCTATGACATACCAGTTTGAGTCCATCTGGGTCTCCCTCCTGGCTTGGATGACACTCGTACACCTGGCGTCCCCACCACACTTCGTCACAGCCCTGCTGGAACCTCACCAATCCAGCTGTAATTCAAGTAAAAAGGGTTTTTTTGGGTTTTTTTTTAATCCCCTGGTGGACAGGAGGAAGAAGATGGCAGATTCAAAGAGAAAAGTCAGGGGCAGGAGAGGAAGTCTGAAATTGGAGCTGGAAGATCTAGGGGCAAAATTGGAAAGATGAGGGTGGTGGGGAGTTTGTAAAGGGGTGAGAAAAGGGAGGAGAGAACAGGCATGGCTGCTGGATAGAATCATG